ACAAAACTCTCAAGGAGACACAAACACCTCCAAAATAAAAGCTCTGCCTCAGAGAAGATTCCTGTTTTGACTGTACCAGTTAATATTTAATTTCCATTAAATGGCAAGAGGTGGAGCAGAGCTTTCCCCTTGGGCAGCAGTAGCACAGGTCCTTGCAGCCTACAGTGCATCACTGTCAACACCTCTGCCTCTCCCACGGACTTCCCCTCTCCTAGAAATCAGCTCCTTTTAAAACAAAGTAAATGGAGCACAGTCAGCCCCTGGTGTTTAAAAATCTTTGAAAGGGAGACTGTGCTGTTATTCTGAGGAGCCTTGTATTTACACTGCAAAAAGTGAGGTCTGACCCCTCCTGAAGAGAGGCCTCTCCCTGCTGAACCCACCACGGAGTGGAGCACAACTCTACTGCCACACTTTGAGACTGCAATTAATGCAAACCAGCTGCCAAGCAGAAGCTTTTGAAAGAGGCTGCTCCTTTTCTACTGAGGTTTTCATTTTATCAATCTAAGGCATCTGAGTGACAGTCTGCTGAGAACATGCTCTCACTTTCCTTTATTTTTGGGACTTCACGTGGATTCACGATCTGGATGCCAAAGTGTGATCCACATTTCTCAGGTGTAGATTGAAATTTCATCACTATTTTCATCACCAAGTACTTCAAGAATCAAGTTTAAAACTAAACACGGACTTCCTTTGCAAAATTCATGCAGGCAGAGGTAACTGTTCACACCAAATTGGTATTTATGACCTCCTATTGAATTTTTAACACACAAATTGGCACACAATTGCAAGAAATTCTGGCATCTCTTGGAAAAAAAAATTTGTCTAGATTATCCAGATATCAACAAGGGTAAAAATGTTTTCAGCATAAGAAAACATTTTAATTGATTAATTATGCAGATTTTACTTGTTCTCAGGCCAGGAGAACAATTCATAACCAATTCATTCCACAAACATAAGCTATATATATATAATCCATTTTAATCCATTTTAAATCAGTGTTGCACAAAAGAAATGCTAATTTCTATTCATTTACTAGTTCACAGCTCATCAGAAGGGCTCTGCAAAGAAAATAAATGTTCAGCAGTAGCAAAGAATTTCACTGCATAGGTCTTTGGTCCCAAATTTATGTCTGTCCCAAGCTCAACACTGTTCTGCAATTCCTTGGCAAAGGAAAGTTATCCCAGTTACATAACTGATTTTTCCTTTGTAATGTAAAAAGTATTTTGTGGGTAGATAGATTTGGATATTAAAAAACCCCAAAAAAGCAGTCAAATCTTTTCCTGCCCAACAACAGCATCCACAGTGGTCTTTGGCCACAGTTTTAACTGTTGTGCAACTCCATAGTTTCATGCCAGCTGTCATTTCAGCAATTATAGCTGAAGAGCAAGGCATTGTCTAGGAATTAATGACAAGCTGAGAAGAGATGGCCTAATGTGCAATCAAGGGGTAGCACATGCTCTTGCAGCCACAGGAAATGCTCTACAAGCTGGCTGTTATTGCACTCTCTGCAGAGCTGATGGGTTTCTGGGCTAGCTAATGTGCTGGCACAATTTTCTCTTTGTATTTTACATAGCTCACTAAATGCTAAGTTCCTTATATTCCAAAGATTTCTCCCCCACCCTCAGCAACAAGCAGTTTCCTCAGCTGCCAGTTAAGACAGTAAGTTTTTGGGGGCAGAACTGGAAGATAATCTTTGTGTCTCATGTTCAATTTTTATCATTGAATAATAATTTTACCAGAAGTCTGAGCAAATCACCGAATGGCTAAATTTTCAGAAAATGTAAACTTAGAAAAATGTGTAAAAAAAGCAAAGATATATATCTATTATCAAGCCCAGGGTGTTTGGTGATTTGGTGCTGCTTGAACACTTACATGAGGATTGATTAAGAAATGAAATGGACTTTGAAGAAACATTTCTTTCCCAGCATGACAAATTTACCACTTTAAAGGCAAAAACCTAATGCAAGCTGTTACCTCCTCTCCAGATTAATGACTCTAAAAGTGAGTGACATCCCCAGACTGGCCACATGCATATTTCAGATCTCTTGATTACGAAACAAATAATTTTCTAAATGTAGTAATGACATGGAACAACCCTGTACACAGCACAGGTTAAAAAGAACAAGAAGAGAGGAAAAAAGTCACTCCTTCAGAGCAAATATATGAATACCAGATTTCAGTCTGAATTTTACTTGAAACCTGATGATATCCACTGTTACTTGGCAATAAAATATTTATTTTAATCCACAGCACCTTTGCAATATGTTTTTTTGTCATTTTTATGAGCTATGGAATTTGCTAATCTCATCTTCTACATTTGTATATATGTGTGACACATTGCATTAGCTATTTGGCTAACAAACTCTTCTACAATCAATTTAGTTTCATGCTAGGGAAGCATGAAAATAGATTTCCCCTTCTGGCTGGCTGTAAAATAGCTCTTTTTCTTTACTACTTACTGACCAAAAGGATGTTACATCTTCATTCTCGCTCTTTAGTGGATCCTGTCCTTGCTCAAGGACCAGGATACAACTGACAGCTGGAGTTCAGGATGAAAAGCTGAATGCTGCCCCTTTACACCTGCATCACCTGTGTTTGTGCTGCAAACAAACAGACCTGAACAGGGAGCAGAATGTGGCCTCAGAGGTACCATTTCCTGCTCACAGGCACCCCAGGCTGCCAGGGCTGCTGCCAAACAAACACCAGAGGGAACAACCCAGCACCAGCCATGCTGGCACCTACTGAAGGACAGCATTTGTCCTAGAGCCTGTGAGACACAAATCTGTCACCCAAGAGGCTGTCTGTTCCTTGGTGAGTGGTGTAACACCTACAGTGGGCACTTATTTGCTGCTGTAACTCTGAGGGGACAGTGAGGAGGCAAAACAAGGGCTGAACAATCTGCCCACCCACCCTCACCCACAGATGAGATCATCATGTTGCTCTGGGAGCTGGTCCTCAGCGGAGGCAAACAATACAAACTTGCTTCACTTATGTACCTGAGCTATTAACTCTTTACAATACTTGCAGAGAATAGATTAAAAAAAGAAATTCTTTTCCTTGCACTTGATAATAGAAAACTGAGCAGCAGTTGGAGGTACCTTTTCTTGCTGAGCCCCTGACCATCACCCTTTTCATGATCTCTCTTCCCCCATGATGTAAAAAACATTTTGTCCTTGAACTGGGAGTTAGAAACTTGACTCTGAAAGTCCCCCTGAAATTTTTAATAAAAACATAACGACAAAAGTTTGTCCTTTTCAGCTGGTTTAGCCCATCACCAGCAAAGCCCTGGGGCAGGGTGGCACAGGCAGCCATCCCCTCCCCACCCCCAAGTGCTGCGGCGTGGGAAAGCCCTGAGCCCACATTCCTCAGTAGCACTCAGCACAGGAAGGCTCCTGGCTCCTCACTCAAACCTTTCACTAGCACTCAGCAAGGTAAATAAACCATACAGTCAGGGAGCTTCAGCCTCCTCCTCTCACAAGCCAGCAGAGGAAGGGTGGAAATATTTGTTTACAGGGAGACACATTTACTCCTGCTCCCTGTGCCTTGGAGAAAGCACCTGCCACTTGCAGAAACTGTGTTCTTGTGTGTTAAAGGCTTACTGAGCTGGCTGGAAGGATCTCCTTGGAATAAATATGTGAAAAGAAGGGATTTTACCTAATAGCACAGCAATGGCCGTAGGGCAGCTTCATGCTCACACACACAGCTCTCCTCAGCCTGTCTTGGTACAACTCATGGCTGTGTCACTGCTACAAATCATGGCTTGCAAATCATTTTCAAGTCATTTTGTGCATGTAGATGCACAAAATTTGCTTGTTTAAACCTCTTGACAATGGGGACACCTTAAAAACCTCAGTCCTAATAAAGTCAAGAGTCTGCCCTCTCAAAAGAGCACAAGTGGAAGTAGGCAGGTGAAACCCGTAGGAATCCAGGTGACAAAAACCCCAATCCCACAGACTTCCTTTTTTTTTTTTGCCACATCCAACACATGTGTCTTCAGCATGTACTATGAGGTATTCAAGCCCCAAAAACCACCTCAGTGTTAGAGATAACATGCTCTAACAAAACGAGGAGTCTCAGCCAAGGGCCAACTCTTAGTCTTCAGCTTTCTTAGATCATACCTGGAATAAAACTTTTCTCTGTTTTCATTACTGTTTAGGATTTTAGTTGGTCTCAGACTTAAAATAAAAGTGGATGTGTATGCTCACCTTTCTCTTTCAGGATTGAGAAGAATTAAAATAATTAAAAGACAGTTTTGCAATGGGAACAGCTAAGTATAATAGGGCCTTTTGCATAAAACCCTCAACAATATCAAAAAGCAACGTGATCTCTCTCCCCTTCAACAGCTTCTATAAAAGTTTGGGAATGCCATGCAGTTCCTCTTTGGTTTTCCACCCCTTGGAAAATCTCAGAGGGATGAAGAAAGCCAAGGCAGAGCTTCATCCTCGTGTTCATTTGTCTCCCCTCAAGCAGAGTCACTCTCATTTTTCTTAGTATCAAAGTATCAGGCTGTTAGATAAATACTAGTAGGGAGAATATGCAGCAGTTTAAGCACAGAGCAGTTTGTTCAGGTCAGCATAAGGCAGAAAGAAGCATAATACTGACAGGACTGCTTGCATGAAGTGTAAAACCACCTTTGTTTTGCTTCCATCAGAATGCAGGAACTCACACCAACACAACAATCCCAGGTATGCAGTCATAGAACTAATTATGAGAAAGAAAACACGGTTTCTGCAGAAAGACAAAGCTCATATTGATCACAGATGAAATTCTGCTAGGGCATAACACTGTTGAATCCAGTCCCTCAGCCAGAAATCAATGCCTTGATGAGCAAAACAGATCAAGCAGAGACTTCACCTCCTTCCCTGCGCTGACCGCCTGCACCAAGAATCTTTCCACAGCACTTGCAGGAGGAGAATGGGTCCAGCACGGGGCAGGGAGTGCCCCAGGTGACCCTGTGAGTGCCCAGGTGACCCTGCCAGTGCCCAGCCCTGACCACTCACCGTGCATCTGGTAGGTGTAGGGCGCCTGCCCCGCCGCGGGCGCGCTGAAGCCGGAGCCGTAGCTGAGAAAGCCACTCTGCCCTGGGGAGTGGCTCAGGCTGTCCTCTGTCTTAATGCCTTTGGGAGCCAAGAGAAAACGTGAGTGCTCGCCATGTAAAGATGGACAAAAAGCAAGTGTAGGAATTAATGATTTTTCAGCTGGATTTTAACCTAATAAGCTCTATTTTTTTACACTTTCTTTCACACACATATACCTATTAGAGATATCTGTCTCTCTCTCTATATCTAATAGTGTATGTGATATAGATATATATATAAAAATATAATGAACACACACACATATAATATAGATACATAGATATAGATATAGATAATATAGATGATATAGATGATAGAGATATAGATATAGATATAGATATAGATATAGATATAGATATAGATATAGATATAGATAGATATAGATGTGTGTGCGTGTGTTTCATTATTTGCATTACCCAAACAGGTCTCCTAACAGCCAAACAAATTCATCCCAAATTTATTTGTGATTTATTAATTTATTTGAGTCAGCTACATCATACATCCACAACCAAATGCACTTTTGCTAAGATGGGTAAACAACCATGAATAATACTGCTTTCAAAAACAATTTCTGAAGAATTGAAGAAACTCACTGACACACAAACTTCCTTAAGTGTAATCAGATGCAAGCAATGATTAACAATGGAACAGGACCTTCAGCAAAATAACCTCAAGATTTCTGTTCTCAAAAGAGTTATTTTTTACTTGCATTGTATTTTCAGCTTTGGTATCAAAACATTTATTGGTAAGTGCTACAGGAGAGTTATCATCTACTCAGTTGGATATAACATACAGTTCAGGAACAATAGGTAAGCCCTGAAGCCACAAAAATCTTTTCATTTCTAAAACCAGGCAATTAAACTGACAATTTACAGGAGGAACAGCAATAGTTGAATTAAACATTGCAAGATGAAACCCTTGCTGGTAATGAAAGGAGTTGATATTTTATTCTGAGATGCTGCTGAGATTGTACAGCTGTATTATTAAAATAAACAGCTCAAAGGTGCAACATATTATGAACCCTTTGGGCGTGATCCTTCCCTCTTTTGCATCCTATTTGCACAACAAAAGATGGCCAATGGACACTCCCTGGGTGCTGGGATTAAAAAAAAAGATCCTGCTGATGTTCGGGAATTGGATTTACACACTCTCCATGCTGTTCTCATCTTTTAGCACTTGTAGACAAGTTGAATTCAGGTGTCTTACCCCAAACATGCTCATTTCCAGCTTAACTAGAAGCAGCAAGTCTGTGCTTGCTCAGGTTTGGAGTAAGCTCTCCCAGATAATGTTTTCTCTAATGAAAATCACTTATTATAGCTTTAGGTGAGAAGAACTGTGATGCACTTTGAGCACAAGCTCATAACAAGATGACTGTGAAAGGCAGGAAGTTTCTTTGGACAATGAGGGGACAAATTCTGGTGCAAGTGTGGGGCTTCATCACTGCTGAGGAAGAGAAGAGGGGCAGAGAAGCCCCTCTTCCCAACATCCCGTGCTTTTCTATTCCATCAACACTCCTCAGGCCAGCATTCAACCTGCCCACCCCAGTTACAATTAATCTTCAGCAAATGGGCCTCTTTGGAAGCCTAAAAATTGTTGTCAGACAGCAAAATACTTTAGCACCAAATTAATTTCCACATAATGTTCTGTTTTGTCTAGGAACTGGCCCAGTTTTATTTTTTGTGCCTAAAAACAATACTGCTTCATTGTTCTTGGTTGTCAGCCAGGTGGAGTTTTTCATATGCTGTGCTGAGCATCTTAGAGAGGGTGTACAGGCTGGGGGAGGGAAACCACTGCTCAAGGATGCTAAGAGGTCACCCACAGGATTTATAAGCAGCACATGGGCCTGACACATGTATGCCCTAAAGCCTCTAGGCAGTAGCAAATGGCTCTCTTTCACCTGCTCTAGCAGGACAACTGCTCAGAGTTTTCCTTGGACGTCAGCCAGATGATGTGAACACACAAACAGCTCCAGGAAAGGGTCTCAAAACATTCTTCTCATCATCCTGGTAGAGCTTTGGCTCTGCCAAGGCCTCCTCCCCAGCCTTCTAGAAGGCTGCTCTAGATTTCCCTTCAGTAAAAGCTTTGCCTGTATAAAAACTTCTTGTTGGGCAGACATACTGTATTTGCCAAGTAAACAAAGGTGTTTAAGAGCACAAGAGAAAAAGAGGAGTGTAAACAAAACTATGAAGCCATTTTAATGGTGCAAGACTCAGCCCTCATGGGAGCAGCCAGAAGGAGGAAGCCCGAAGTTTTCTGTTAAAGAGCTATACCTAAATGAGAGCAACATCTCTTTGGTCTTTAGGAGTGGGAAGAAATTTCAGCTTCCTCAAGAGCTCAGTATCGCCATGCAGAGCTTGAGGACACTTAAGGCTTGGTTCAGCAGGCATTCCTCTGCAGGAGTGCTGGTTTAATTAGCTCCCTGTGCGAATCCCCCAGCTGCTCCTGCCCAGCACTGCCTCCCCACAGCTGTTGGCAAGGTTGTGCAAAAAAGCAGGGAACAAAGCTGACTGGGGTTAGAAAAGTTGACTGAACATATAGCCAGTAAGTGCCCATTTAAACACAAACTGTCTTCCAAAACCAAGGTACTCTGCAACATCTCACCCATGCCTTATTCTGCTTTGCATTTTGGTTCTTCTGTAATAATATACACAGAAATTTTCTCAAAGTAGCTTGTGTTATTGAAACTTCATGAAGAATCGAGGATGGCAAAGTGTAGCTTTCATAATTATCATATTTACTGTACTTTGTCTTGACAGTGGATCATGGGAGCACTCATGAGCTATTACTCCTAAGTGGCACATCCTACTGATGCTGAATTTCTCATAGTCTATGACTGACTGGCTCCAAACTTACCTAGTTTGCAAAAACATAACCCATGATATGACGAGCTGATGGGTTTAAAGCTGATATAGTTCAAAGGAAACTCAACATTTAAAGTCAAACTTTCCTCTAAGCCTAAGAAGACAACGTTGCTGAGACTCAAATGACACATTCAGTGTAAAACTTTAAGGACTCCCAATCAATTTTTCCAGCAGCAGGAGGATGATGTCCTCCCAGGCACCAGGACTGTGGGGTACTCACTGTAGGACGGGATTCCGTAGGGCTGCCCCGGGGGGGGATAGGCAGTGTAGGCAGCAGCCTGCTGGATTCCCGTGCTGTACTGAGCCTGTCCATAGGCTGCCATCGTGGGGAAGGATGGGACTGGCACTAAATGGGGATAATGTCTATTCAGAACAAGAAAACAGAAGGGTTTAAGGCAATAGTTACTGCACATGATCTTCGAGAGCACAAGCAGAACAGTTCTAGACATCTCGCTAAAATAACGTTCAACACAGGATGCTGAATATTTTGGAACTGAGTGGACTGAAGCAGAAGTTTGTTTTATGAACTATCAGATTAAGCCATCTAAATGCATGGCAACTTTAAGACAGTGCAAAATACATGCAAGTTTAAAAAATAAAATAAAATCAACACTGTTTTTTCGTGTTTCATTTTGAGTTTGCTGAACAAGTGAGTGAGATGGGAAACCTCAGACATTTCAACACATCCCCTCTGTGGTTACTCATAAACACAAAAATATTCAAACTGATAAGGTTTGGGTACCCAGAGGTATCAAAACACAGTTCACAGTACCTCAAACCTTATTTCACTCCATATTCAAGAAGATTAAGAACCAGCTACTTCCCTGTGCCAGAGACGTGTGGGGGAACAGGTGGATGGGCTTAGGGCAGATGTTTTCTAAGGTGACAGAAGTCTGCACAAAATGGCTGTTCAGCAGAACAGGGATTTTAAATTACAGCACTTGGCACGAGCACTCACTTTGTGGTGTACAGATGGAGAGGACACTGCGGTGCTGATTTGCTGCTGCCTGGAAAACAAAATTAAAGGGTCTTAGATTTTCATTGTGTTCTGTTCTGTGGCCAAACTGATACAATTGTTTTTACCACTGCTGGTTTGAGAAAAATATACAGGAATCAAAATACTTTTTATTTTTTAGTTAATATTCCCAAACTGAGGTAGGTAAGAAATATATTCTCTGCTTCACAACAAATATAGATTTAGTTTTTAATTGAGAGTGATACCAGTTGATTGAACTACCAGTTTCTTCTTCTCATGGGACTGATATCAGTCTTGAAGCTGGGCTTTGAAGCAATGACTCATATGCTAAAGGCTATAAAAGCCAATACTATGACTGCTGAAGTGATTTAAGCTCACTGCACATTTTGATCTTTTGCTTTTTTTGGTACTCTCCTAGACCATGACTCACTTTCTTTAATGTCCATTAAAATATATCAAATAATAGTAAATATTAAAAATACAACATCATAAATCTCGTTAATTTGAATTTTTTGAGTTAACTATAGCATACCTTATTGAACTACCAGCAATCAAAAATTACATCAGTAGAAAACCTATCATACAAGTTGAATGTGCAAGATGCCTTCTAATGGACCAAACAACTGGGTGCTGTAACATTACCAAAGAAAAATGTGCCACCAGCTTTTTTTAGAGATAAATTTACATTTACCAAATTAAAAACTGAAAACACAAAAAAGAAACAAACAAACAAAGCTAAATTAAAACCTGCAAGCTGTACTGAAAATGCCATACCAAAACACCACCATGTACTTTTTGCAGGTTGCCTCCACAGTGCCATCCAAACTTTGCTCCTTGGTTCCTGGCTGGAGCTGTCATTAATTCAGCACTACAAATGCCAAAACACTCTCACAATCATCAATAATGACAAGCCACAACTGAGTCGGGCTCTGTGTCTCCTGGCTGCATCAATGCACACACCAGACTCACTGCACATGGCTTCTCCACCACCTCCAGTGGCCAAAGCAGCACAGCTTCCTTTGTTCAGACATTGGTCAGCTGGCAAATTAAACATTTAAACCATTCTTCATTTAATGAAATATGCAAGTGCATATAAAGTCTAAATGCATGCAAACAGTTCTCTGGGTTTGGGTAACTTGTGCTGTAAACATGGACAGAATGACCAAAAAGATCCAACATGCTCACATCTGAAATGTTTGTTATTCCTGATTTAGATCTCTCTTGAAATTGTTCTTTCACACACATCCCTTTTTCACAACATTTTACATGGCTTGATCATTTTATGCTATAACATGGAGATTACATCAAACTATTTTTAAAAACACTGCCACTTCATCTGGCAACTTTTTAGACTAAATTTCAATAAAAGTTGCATCATCGTGAGTCCTTACTAAAAATATTAATTACTAGGTATCATTCTTTTTTTAGAACATTAATTTATGTAATTAATGGTGAAACCTCTACGTGCCTAATCACTAACAGGATCACCCTAATCACTGACAGAAACAAAACCAGAAAGACTCTTCAAACCCCTGCAACACTCCCACACCTTAGAAAAGTAAAACCCACCTGCAACCCTACCTTGTTTTCTGTACCTATAAAATGTGGTACAGTAACCTATTTCCCAAGCAACAGGCAGACAGGTTTAGTTTAAAATACTGACAAAATAATATCCACGTATTATTGACAAAGGATAATGTTATACAGACATATCTATTCTCTTACACATCCACAGAGAAAAGACTGAGTTTAAAAGCAAAACTGGGCTTACCTGAGTCACCTTCAAACTCACTATGAAAAATTTGCTTTGACTTACCTGAAAGAGAACAGTTTAGAAAATCAGATTTTCAGACTGTGAGAACTACACCATTTCTGTCTCTCATTACCAAAGAGCACTGCACTTAAGAAACAGACATTTTACAATTCATTTCTTTCATTCTTAATGGCTTTTACATCAAAAAAACCAGCAGAACAGTTTGAGCACAAGCCTCATTTCTCTTCTCTTTGAAAAACACCACAGCATCAAATTTTTATTTTGGTACAGAGTAAACAAGTTTGCCAAGAATGCCAAGTAGGAATTTACTGTGTGTGAATATGCAATATGCTACTGTCACTGACAAGAAAAGGCAAAGTTGATCAGGAAAATGTGCAAATTATACATTATATATATAAAATATTTCAATTATATTGAAAATTATATTGATATAACTGCACATCTCATGACAAGCACCCATGAGAACAACAAGCCAGGCAGCTACACGGACATCTAAATGAGTAAGTACCATGACTAGACTTGCTAAATTTAATACTTTATGTGTAATACAGAGCATAAATTTGTGTGCATTTATTACATTAAGAGCTCTGTCAGTCTGAGAATTGTCAAACACACAAGTATTTTCCTGTTCTTCAAATTAACCACAAGTATTTTCAAGGGAAAGAGCACAATCTTGGTAGCACAGGGGATCATTCTGTAGAAAAAACACCATAATATTTCTATAAGAAACAAATCAACATGAGCTGTCTCTGGCAGTGGTGTCCAACAGTGGCTCCTGTGTTGACTCTTATTTATACCACACAACAAAAAGCAGTTCCTGCACTAAGACTTCTACAAAATGATGTACCTAAAAATCATTTCTAGCTGTAATCTTTTCTGCAAACAGGACCATTTAAAAGGATGTTTCCTTTAGGCTGTTATTCCTTCTACTGCTCTTGTCAATAGGCAGCCACGATGGGCGTGATTTAACCATGCAATTCCTAATGCCTGAGCAAACAGGCAAACAAAACATCCCCTGGCCCTTCCAAGAGCCTATAAATGAAGGGTTAAACATACTACTAAAACATAATAGCCAGTGCCTTTTCCTACCTCCCCTCTAACAGGAAGGCTGACAGATCCTGACCGCAGCAAACAATAGCTGGGATTGTACTAGCAAGAACTAGTTCAGCTGCATCACTTGCCAATAATTTTTTTAGCAGATTTAACATTCTTCTGTTTCCTTCACTTGAACAGTACGATGGGGCAGGGGGGAGAAGGAGGAGATAAATTTCCATCAGAGCCTCAGCCACTGAAGGAATTTGTTCCTGGTACCTGCCAAATGTGAAACTCCAGAGCAGAGGCCAGCAGGGCTAACAATTTGGGGATGGCAGCAGTGGTCTCAGAGCGATGCAAACTGGGGCACAGAGCTGCTTTGGCAGGAGTTTTCAGGCTGCTCAATACATTCCTGGGCCTGGGAGCCCCCACAGTCCCACCTCAGCAGCAGCAGAGCCACCAAAGCCCAGGGCTCACGTTCACATCACCACTGGGGCTCCAGCAAAAACTACCAGGTCTACACAAAATACAGTTCACACCTGCAATTCCTCCAATGGAACAGAAATCTACACATGCATGTTTGTAAATGCAGGCATCAACTATACACAGATATATATTTACATATTAAATACTTCTATTTCATTTGCATTCAAGCCATTGTGGAACTAAAGGATTCAACCACAACTGGCGAGTATACAAAAAAAAAACCCTCAAAATCTCAGTTGCTCACTGTAGAACTAATTGCCAGAAGCAGAGGCCTTGCAGTGGCCAGCTCCCTCTGGTTACACATATTCACATATTTTATGTTAAAGCAGCAAACAGCAAGCAGAAGAGCAGCCTACCTTCTATGTCATCTGGAGCCGTGGCATAAATGTGAGAAAGGTTAAGCTTCAGTCTGTCAGGGCACTCTCTATTTACAGTCAGACTGGGTGATATCACTAGATCTAGCATTTCCTTATACCTGAAGGAAAACAAAGGAAAAATACAATTTATTCATTAATTATGCATGCTTACTAATGATTCAATTTTTTTTCCCTAAGAGTATAAATATTAAAGCTGATTACCTAAACCCAGGCTTCATATAAATTCCACATAATAACATTCACTAAAGTTTTCATCAAAGGGAAATGCTGAATTAAAATGCAGTACTTGCTTCCTTGGAGATTACACCCATCTGATTAATGATTTCCCTTTCTTCCTGGATTTTGCCACACAAAAACAAAATTCCAGATCTCTCATATGCCATCAAAGCAAGAATAAACCCACCAGTGTCTAGTGAGGCTGCAGAACAGACTGGAACGGCTGAAAATGAAGCTGAGGGCAGTTAAGATCATTATGGAGTCTTATACAAGGTAATAAAGTTAGTACTGGTGACAGGATCAGTTTTCCAGGGGACACCCAAACCAGGCACCCCACTACAATGTCCTGGCCATTAGGTGGCAGTGACACAAGGACAGTCCCTTTGACACGAGCCACCTTCTCTGATGCAACCAAAAACTTCAAGTTAAGGACATCTAGGCCTTAATCTCTGAAGAAAAACACAATTCTTCATGTGTGCACATGACCTACACCACCATGAAAGCTTACAACCTCTGCATTACATAAAACAGTTCAGAAACAAGGACAGAATTCTTATTCCAGACCTTATGTATGAAATCAATAGGTCCATTCCTGTACACACCACCATTTTTAATTCATGTGCCTGCCTGCAGCTACAGACCTGTTCAGCTGCTTGCTTCCCTTGGAAGTGTTGGGTGTTTTGGATGGGTACAAAATGTCATTAAGTGCACAGGTTCACACACCTATGTTTGCAAGTTTTGGTGAAGACAGTGGGGTGAGTACAATAAGGTCTGGCACATTTGATACCTGCACAATTCCTTCTATGCAAGGCAGCTTTCCTTGAAACCTTTACTCCCATCATGTTCTCCCCTTGTTCCCTGTGCAACCATTGCCTGCACCTAGACCTGAAGAACCCATGGGGCAAGGAAAACCTGGAGCTAAATCTCTCAATTAATTGTCTTTATTTCTTTTTAAATACACACAATGCAATGGAAACCTATTTGGATTTTCCAAGACTAAACTTGCAGCTTTTGGTTCAAGTCCAGAACAGACGATGAACAGACAACTCCAAGATTCTGTGTTGTTCTTTGCTGCCCATGGCCACACAGAGCACAACCTTAGTTCAGTTCCCTGGAAGTCACTGGGTGGAATTAGGGCTATTAGGGGAAAGCATAACTGCTCTTGGACAGAGCAGGGCCTGAGCAGGAGCTGATGGGGGAGAGGGAAGTGGTGGTGAGTGGATCCTGGCTGCAGCTTGCTCAGGCTCCCCTTCCCTCCTCACTGAATGTGCCTGCCAAGGCAGCTGGCACATCCCTGCTCCCAGCTGGCACCTCCCCAAGCTGGACTAGGCAGGCAGCACCTGGCTGCTAACAATCCACATCTAAAACATCCCAAAGTTAAAGAGAGCAGCACATGAAGCTGAAATCATCAGGCTTCTGCAATACCAATCTATGTGCTTCTGGGAGAAACCAAGGTTTGTTTTGATTTTCTGTTTAAACACCCCTGTATGGCTTTACCAGCTTTAAGAAACAGAAAACCACATACTTTTTATCTGAACCTCCCCAATCCCTTTTATAAAGCCTCTGAGTCCCTGTGAGGGAGGGCAAGTATTGTTAAGAACAAGCACAAACCAGATCATTTCATCTGTAACTAAACAGCAAAACCAAAACTAAATTCATTTTCACTCTCACCTGACAGCTGCCCAGACAGAAAAAACATGAACACTGAACCCTCTGTGAATCTACAGAACTACCAAAAATAGGCTGAAATGAAGAGGCATAAATAACCATGTAGTGTCCACAACCCCAATCCTCCTCTCTCCACGTGGGATCTGCCCCCCTTGGAAATCCATGTGGGTATCTCATCACCAACACAGCCTCAAGTCCAGAGGCTGGTAAAGGCTTCCCAAGCATGTGCCATGAAGGGGACCTTATGAATGACCAGTGTGGTAGAAATGCTCTGGATGCAACACTTGTGTCCTCCCTTTGTCCCCAAGTGCTACCTGCTACAGATCTGCTAAGGAAACCAGAGCAGCATAAAAATCAGCCTTGCTCTGCAGCTGCATCTTTGCTGCTAGTGGGTCTCAAAGGGTTCCACCTTCAGATGTGTCCTTGGAAGAGGAGCACAGCTGGCTCCCCTCCCTGCCTTAGATACAGACAAACTGAAAATGCAGAAGCACAGGGCCACCAATTGTGCCCACAGCAGTGCCCACGCCACCAACGGCGTGGAAATGCAACAAGGAGGCAGATGTGTGCAAAGATATGAAAAAATAGTCCTCAGGTGTAAAAAATCCTACGAAAGGACACAGCCCAGAGCTGAAACAACAATCCATGAGTCCTCACTCAGGAGAGGCTTCACTCAGCACTGCAGAAGTTCTGCTCCATCTGGTACGAAGCACAGCCTGCAGGGCACTAAGGGATGGTCACAACCCCTCACTCAGGAGAGGCTTCACTCAGCACTGCAGAAGTTCTGCTCCATCTGGTACCGAAGCACAGCCTGCAGAGCACTAAGGGATGGTCACAACCCTTCTTCTGCACACTGAACTCGTGCCAGAGCTGCTTCTCCAGAAAAGCCAGCACTCTCCTGCTGGCACAGCCAGCCTGCCACAGGGAAAGGGCTCAGAGGGAATTTTGTGGGGCTTCTCAGTGGGGCGGAACAAGGTACGAGCTGTGGCTCCTAAGGCTCTCTGAAAAACAGCAGGGAGAGCAGGGGCTCTTTCCCAGAGGATTTAAGGAATTAGTTTATTCAAATCCATAGCACCCAATTAAATTTTGCCTGCATGGCTGAGAAAGTGGGGTTCCATTTTATACAAGCTTTTCCTTTCCACTCTGAGCACCATCTCATTTCTTTTCCCCTTGCTTCCTTAGGGCTACCCCTGAGCTGAGGGCAAGCACTGCTGCCCCAGATCCTGTCAGGCTGGGGCTGTTCCACCTTGTTTCTCAGATAACACATGCCCTTCAGCATAATCCAAACCCCCATCATTCATGACACTGCCCAGGCTGTTGCCAAGTGAACAGGAGCAGATGTTTAAAGGGAAATGATCTTTTATAGTGATTAATGCACTTTAATTACATCATTGTTCAGGGATTTCATTAGCTACTCTCTGCCTGATGGTTTTTCTACTGGTTTTGCTCTGTTCACTTTTGAATTCACCAAGTCACATCGTATTTTCCTGTTTTTTCAGCTCTCATTTTAGTTTAGAGTCTGCGTTAGTTGCATGTACAAACAGGTAACTTTTCACAGAACTGCCTGGCTGGCTGTACACGTCACGTATGAGTGCTGTTAGTGGCTTTGCCTGTTTTGCACGCACCATTTACTGATTTATTCATGTGCATTTCTTGCCTATGGACTTCTTGACAAGAGTTTCTGAAATTCCAGTTTTAATGGCGGCAAGCTACAGAAAACAGTCAAATAATGGAACAGGGCTGGTATTTAACACAGTAAATGACATGCTGGAGTGCAACTGATGAAAATATCAGGTCTTTGTTTTCTTTTTAGAGAAAAAACATTTTCTGGCTTAAGCAGTGTACAGTAAATCAGTAATAAAGTTTGCTGAATATGAGCTTTTATTAAAACCAGTGATGGCAGCATCTAACATGCAGGGCTGACAGACATCTGGAAGAGCTTTTGGCTTCTATAATTAAGAAGAACCTTGTGTGAATTTGTTGCTCAGCTTTTCCATTAGAATTCCCTACTCAAACCCCAGTATTTTGCCCTGAAATTTAGCCCACAAAATCTCTGCCAAAAACAGAAACTTTTTTCAAATGTTTAGGAATGAAAAAAAATAGAAATATAAGGTTGTTGGTTTTTTTTTTTCCCCTTTTCAGTCATTATGAAGCTAGGAATGCCAGATTAAACAATTAAAGGTTTCAGATTTTTGACTGAGGTGTTGGGACAACTGGCAAACCCCCTGTTCTTTTACAGTGATGTTTTGAAGGCAGTGATTCCAGACCCGAAGTCAAGGCAGTCAAATGAGTGCTGAAGATAGAACTCCTGAGTGATCTAATCTCTCTCCAGCAAAGTGCTCACAAATGGGTGTCCAACACCATGGAGGGACCCGTGTGATGCCTTAAGTTTGAGCTTTCATATTTTCCAGATTCTGTACTGCACTGGTACATAACTCTGAACCTAACACAGAGTTTAGCAGGTTCTCCTCACAGCTCAGTCACACAAAACAATCCTTTTTCAGCCTGAGGACTAAGGACACTATTACAGCTTCAGGCCCAAAAAGTGCAAACAACAGCAAACTGAGGAGAGAAATATGGGAGGATGGGACTTCATAACCTGCAGCTGTAATTGGACAATTAACCCCAATAAGGAAATGGACCAAAACTTATAAAAGTGTGAAAACTCATGACCCATCATCCCCCTTGGGTGTAGCCTTGGCCAGGCTCTTGTACTGCCCAAGGAATATCCTTTGAAGGCCTTTTAATAAATCCCTACTTTATTCCTTTAACACTACCTAGACTCTGTTCTAGGCAGCCTCTCAAGGCATGAGGTGTGCAAGGTGATGAGAACTCCATGGATCATATTTTGAGAGGCTGGAAGAGGAAACCACCACGGCATTGTGGGCAGATGGAACCTCAGCACAGCTCTGCCCAGCACAGCGGGCAAGCCAGAAGGCACCAGCAACAGATCAAGGAGTCTCCTTCCAAAGTTTGGAGCTTTGCTGCTCAGGTAGAAACTCAATCCTCTCTGAGCCTGCTCCCACTTGTGATTAACATCCTCCCCTCAACACACTAAAGGCAGCTCAGGGCACTTCCATCCTCCCCGTGGAGCCAGTGGGACTCTGCACTTTTTACTCATCTCTACTCCATTTCTGGGGTGAGAAGACAGAATTCTGGCTTCAAAATGTACCCAAACGGTAAAAAAAAAATGTTCAAAGGAGAGCTTTCAGGGCAT